CCCCCCCCCAATAGGTGGGAAGGCGTCTAATTCGGGAGGGCGGAGGGTAGCGGGTGCAATGGGGGTGGAGGGATTTCGGTAAGAGCGAGGATGGGGCACGTGGGAGAAATTATGTTGCTGTGCTGGGTTTTGGTTTTGTTTGAATAATAATTGGTGAAAGGGTTAAAATATCCAACGTGCTGGTGGGGCTAATAAGACGCAATAAGAAATTTTGGGAGTGCCTGGATTTGGATTTTATTTTTTGTTGGCTGGGAAGAACGGATAGACGACCGTGGATGTTGTGGAGGAAGTAAGCAGGATTTGACCCTTGTCTGACCACGGGACTTGGCGGCGTGCCGCTGAAGCAGACAGCGACAGGCTTCAGACCGAGAAAAATCGCTTTGCGCGCCGGTAGCTCGCGGCGTTCGTCGCTGCCGCGGAGACCGATCATTCAACTCGATTCAAAGACTGGTACGTGGAGGCTGGGTCCGTCGTCAGCGTTAAACACCACGTTGAGGGCGCAGCCTCAGTGTTGGGACGTCCTCTGCACGTTGTGTCCTGTAGCATGAGCAGGGCAGTAAATGGATCCGGCCTAAATGCTTTGCCCCTTACTGTTTATTTCGGCACTGCACGAAAGAGAGGAGTATTTGTTACATGTTGATGGTGGGCCCAGGCCCACCGGGCACTAAATGTACATCTAATTGCGTGGGGGTAGGACAGGTTGTAGCCATGTGGATCTAAGGACACAGACAGGCGAGGTTCTTTGAGTAAATCTGATACCTCTTATTAAACCAACTCAAATCGTTGGGAAAATTACTTCTTTGCAAGCTTTCGGGCACATCTAATTCTGTGGAGCAGATCGTGAGAAACCAGGAGGAGGTTGTAGGTTAATCGCTAGGGTGCAAGGGAGGACACTAACTCCAGCTAGGGCCCAGGGAGTTGGTGGATGCTGCCCAGTGAAACCATCTGGGGATGTGTACGGGGCAAGGAAAGGAAGACAGCCTTACAGGCCTGTTTGTCAGGGGCATGGGCTTAGGCCCAGCACGTAACCTTTTCGCCTCCCTCAGACAAGGAGGCTACAGATTCAGAGATGGGAAGGGACATCACAAGATCATTGGGTCCAGCCCCCTGCACCAGGCAGGAAAGACAGCTGGGGTCAGATGACCCCAGCGTGGTGACCGTCCAGTCTCTTCTTGAAGATTTCCGGGGTGGGTGATTACATTATGTCTGGAGGGAGCTTATTACACGGTCTGGATACCCTGACTGTGAAGGAGTTTCTCCTAGTGTTAAGCCTGAATTGGTCTTCCAGGAGTTTATGGCTATTACTCCGGTTGTTCACCAAGCCCTTGGTATATTCCCCTGATGTAGTGGTAAGCTGCTACCAAGTCCCCTCTCAGACTTCTCTTTCTTTTTAGGCCGAAGAGGCCCAAGTCCCTCAGCCTTTCTCGTATGGCTTGCCATGCAAGTCTGATTGTGTGGTTGGCCCTTCTCTGGACCCTCTCAAGCTTTCCGCACCTCTGTTGAAGCGTGGCACCCAGAACTGGATGTAGTCCTCCAGCTGCGGTCTCACCAGTGCTGAGTAAAGTGGAAAAATCATTTCCTTCATTTTGCTTGATGCATGGCAGATTGTTGTTTGGCCTGCTGGCTACAGCATTGTGCTGCCAGCTCGTGTTCATACTAGGGTCTGTTATTACCCCCAGGTCCCTTTCAGTCATGGTGCTGGTCGGTTTGGCAATTGGCAATTGATTACTGGGCACAAGTAATAAAAAAACGGGCGGTAGTGAGGGTCAGAGGTTCATAACAGTAGAGGTGCACCAATATATCGGTCGCATATCAGATCAGCACTGATAAAAGGACATCGCCAGTCAGCTTCTTTTTGGCTGGTGTAGCTGATAATGTCACCAATAAATGTCATGTGCTTGTGTGCAGCTGCAGCTAGGAATGCAACCCAGCAGCTTGGAGAGCAGCATCTCGGTTGTGGGGAGGGCTGTGGGTTTGGGGGGGACAGATTGAGGCCCCCACAGTGAGAGAGGGGGTGGGGCAGGTGCTGCCTTGCCAGGGCAGTGAGTATGACCCCCCTGAGTGGGCCAAAGCCATGGGCAGCTTGCCCAGAGGGTGGGTGGGGGCGGGGGGCTGGCTCCCCATCACTGCGCACACCCCCGGGGGAGGTATGGGGGGCATCTGCCCCCCAGATCTGTGCTTGTTGCCTGCTGCGAACTTGGGGCTAGGAGCTGCACCAGCACCTGGCAAGGGAGCTGCATTCAGGATGGGCAGCTGTGGGGCAGGTAGCACTGCTGGGAGGGGTGGCTATGGGGTGGGTTATAGCCACCCCAAAACTCTCTATAACCAGTCCTCACAGCACCGCCGCCTCCCTCCTTACCCCGAGTGCAGCCCCCACTGGG